GTACTTCTCGTAGTACTGCTAGTACTAGTAGTACTAGTAGTACCAGTAGTACCAGAAGTACTAGTAGTACCAGTAGTACAGTTGTACTGGGGGTACTGTAGTACTAGTAGTACTAGTAGTACTAGTAGTACCAGTAGTACTAGCAGTCCTGGTAGTACTGGTAGTACTGAAACCTATAGTAATAGGTACCCCTGGTAGTACTAGTAGTACTAGCAGTCGCCGTCATCCTCACAGTGACAATCTTGACAGGTCATAAGCATGACAAAGATGATGATAAGAGTAATGACGACGAAACTCAAACATCTTCACGCAATACCAGCAGTCATGGTAATTGCAACAAACAAGTTAACATGCACATCCAGCTTCATTGATTCGGTGGCACTTACAGAAATGTGTGCATTTGGTGGTTACAGAAAACTTGCACATCCATGTGCACGCCAGCAGCTGCCTGCATATGCTTCTGCACCACTAATATGTTGCGGAAAGATACAAGCTACACAGCGGCAAGCCGTTCTTATGCGTGCCTCTGCGTCTGCGGCACTCTGTACAAGATAAGGAAATGTTGGCACTACGCTAGGACAAACTGATCCGCTATAGTTTCTGATGTTGCATTTGCTCGAAAATAGACCGTACGGTCCGCAGGGTACGACAAATGCATGTGCACGTGCATGCATGTGCGCACATACGTACCGTACCGTACCGTACCACACCGTACCGTACCGTACCTACCTGCCTACGTACCTAGATACCTACAGATCTACATAGCCCCTCACACACCACACACGCACATACACATGCATACAAATACACATACACATGCACATACACATATACACACCCACGCGCACATACACATACATGCTCACACATACACATGCATGCACAGACATGCACATACATGCACACACATACACATACACATACAAATACCCATGCACATACACGTAGGTATACACGAACAGGCACACATACGTACACGGTACACGCGCATACCAATATGTACATATGCACATACACAGACATACATACATACCTACATACATACATACATACATACATAGTAAGGACGTACGCACATACACATATACATACATACATAAATACATACACACAGACAGACAGACAGAAAAACAGAGCGTAGGTAACCTGTTACATGAATTGCAAAACTTACATACCTATATACCTACCACGTACATACACACCTACTTACATACCCGCGTACCTACATACATACGTACATATGTACTCACGTACATATGCGTACACACGGCGAACGTACATGCCTCTAAACGTACATGCATGCAGACATGCATATGGCCGGACGAGTTAGGCGACTGACAGCCTGCCGGAAGATGGTCAAGTTCTGGACGCCCACCTGCGCCCCGTCCTGGCGGCACCGAGGGTAACCTTGCAGCACCGAAGGAGACACAACGCATACCGTAGACGAGATCGTCGGCGGACCCATTAATCATTGAAAGGCTTGGGGAGTAAGCTACCTTAACCCTAAGCACCAAATATGCAACAAAACACAAGCGGTGGCAGGTCCCGGAGCGCGGAAACTGGGATCTAGGCCCAATCTGGGCAGGAGATGTTCGAACAGAAAGGAGACAGAGAGGAGAAGTCATCCAGCGAAGGGGACCTCCCTCGTTGTCTATGCCCTAGAAGGGGTTGATACACAAAACGGGCATGCTCCGTAAACACTATGCATGCTCCAGCATGGCAGGCAGTATAGCAGGTGGGGTCTTGATCAAAGGTTGCTGAAGTGGCTCTGGTCGCTGCTGTGCCGTTTACAAGAACATGGTGTGGTATGTCAGAACTCGCCCAAAGGTGCGCATGTTTAAAAAGCAAGCAGCAAGCAAGCTGACTGCAGATGTCAAGACATATACCGCCCTGAATTGTCTAAGTAAAGACCACAGCCGTCCTGGCAACCAAGCCGTGGGTCCATTCCTGTGTCGACCTGCGGTGTGCGTCAGCTTCGGCTGGTCCGGCTATCGCCGCTACTGTCATGAGGCCGGGTAGTACTTCATGCTTGGGCAGTTTCATGCTGATGAACTATTGTCGGCAGCACTGCCAATGCCTGCGGTTCCTACTGCTCCTCATGCGTATCTCTCGTGCGATGTGCCCATGACCAGACGTCACCACTACTTCAAGCTTGCAGCACACTCTTTGCATCCGGCCAGGAAAAGCGTCACCTCAATGCAGCGAGGGGAAGCGATGGGAAGCTCGTGTTTTGTCACAAAGACGTTGCACAGAATGTGAGCCTGAGGAGGAGGCATTGACGTGGGCCTCTGCAGGCATTCCGGCTCGCGTGTATGGGCACAGCCTCGGCCCGCATCAGCACACAGATAGACACATCGGACATGCCTAGGACCTAGGTGGAGCCTTCGGATTCACGGAACTGTTGGCAGCAGTGATCCGACAGGCAAAAGGAAGGCAAAAGACTCCGTGGCGACGACAGAGCAGATTGCGACTCAGCGCTGCAAAGCCTGGCGGCAGCTCCGAGTGCTTACTGAAAGGCTGATGGGTGTTCCAAGCAGGGTTGTCAAGGTAGCTCTGTCCATCCATATATATATATATATATATATGGAAAAGAAATAAATACATAAATATATATATATATATGTGTGTGTGTGTGTACAGAGCTATAGGATAGCAATCCTGACCCTACTTACAACCACTCACGAAGGTTCAAGCAGGGTTTTTAGCTGTGAGTTTTTCGGTGCCGAAACAGCGGCCAAAGACCTAAGCCAGCGCATTGAAAAGAGCCCCAAATATGAACTCGACACTCAACGACGTTGTCATGCAGGCTCAATCACCACCAAAACTGAAGTTCCAACACTGCAGCAATGCTAGTGCTGGTTTGCATAGCAACAACAATCCAAATGAGTGCTGCAGAACATTAAGCCGTAACATCTGCAGCAAGCAAAACTAGCCGCAGCAACTGCAACAACGAAGTCCAGTCACAACCACCGTACCAAAAGTCTATGAGTCTATGAAGCCAAAATCATATCATCCCAGGCCACGGCCTGCACTCTCTGGTCAGCTCGTCCTCGATGTTCAGCCACGGCTTTGACACCACAGCGACCAGCAACCCACCACGAAAGCCATATCCTGGAGCAGGAAAGGCTTAGGGTAAGAGCTGCGGGAGGCTTAGAATTTAGGCCTCGGGCTTTGGAATCATAGCGTTCAGGATTGAAGGTACCTATGGTAGTTCCAGCTAGAAGCCGAAAAGGTGCAGTGCTCAAACCACCGACAATCGAAAGCCCCGAACCTATACGAAAGAACCGAAAGACCCTGAATGCCCGAATGTTAGAATCGAATCCGAGCCTTTACATCAGGAAGCACTAATCCGCGAAGCCCCAAACCCAGTCGCCTGTCAGACGAATCACGGGGTCGGTCTCGGGCATCGACGGCTCTGCCGACTGCACCTGCAAGGCTCGGCGCTTTGGTACCCCGGTGTGCTGTACAGACGAAGAAACATCGCTTGCGTAGATTGCAGGGAAGCGAAGCTCGCAGGCGCTAGCCAAGATGGCACAGTGCTATGACATCAAAAGCGAGTTCCTACTGTTGAATCGTTAGGGCTTTGAGATTTGGGCTTGCCTGGCTTTGTGGCTTGGGCTTGCGTTATCGGGATCTGTGGTTTGGGGTTGAGAGTCTGGGCTTTGGGGTTTGTGGTCTCGGAATTTAAGCATGGGGCTTGGGTTGAGTTTGAGGGTTGGAGGTCACAGGGTCCAGTCTTTAGGCCCCTCTGCCCGAACCCAGCCTAAGCCTAGGCCTGAAGAAGACAAGCAACCCGGGAGCTCCAAGCCCAAACCCGAAATCCCCCGTCTCAGAGACTATGGTTGAGACTTCGAAGTAGAAATTTCTGATTTGGATGTTGAAACCCTCAACTTGCCTTTGGGCTGGGGCCGAAAATCTTCAGATTCCCGGCGAGATGGACCTGGTTGTAAGAGGCTGCGGCTTCTTGTGACCTTCGTGTTTATGGGACTAGGGCTTCAGCTTGGGAGCGTCTTAGGATTCTCATTCCTGCTGCCAACGCTGTCGAGATTTTGATTATCATGCTGGCGAGTCTAGTAAGACTTGATACCACGCCCTTCACGACTACTGCTAGCGAGGACGACGAAGACGATGACGATATAACGAGTATTGCTGCTCCATCATGAATGATCTTCTCCGAGCGTCTATGCTATTGCTGCTGCAAGTGCTCTTTGTATGCTGCAACGAATATCACTGTCATGACTAGTCACTAGTAGCATATCGATCGTACACCACGGCTGGTGATGCTGTTCTTGCAGTTCTAGCCAACATCACTGATACTGGTACTGCTAAGTGCGAATTGTTGCTGTTACTAGCAGTGCCATTTTGATCTTTTCGCGTTTGCAGTGTTTGCAGTGTCATCGTGCTAGCTAGAGTTGACGTGATAGTGAGGATCTTTGTCTCTTTGCTGGCTAGTCTTGCAGTGATCGTAATGCCAGTACGCGGCCAGAAATATGATTTGTCACAGTCCCGTGGCTCTGCATATCGAGGTTGACAGCAATACGGTCAGGTTGTTGCGAGACGTCTGCATCACTGCGCCCGGACTTTTTGCAAGATCCGTGTCGGGGCGCAAAACGCTTTCTATGTGCCAAGGCCCACTCGCGAATTCAACTGCTGTTGCCTTTGTCGGACATCGATCGCTTTGAGGGCGCCAACTGTCAGTGACGCTTTTCAGGCAACGGCATCGTGGTGCAGAGTTGCATTCAAAGTCATACAAGGTTCCCAATCGGGAAGCTCTGATTTCTAGACACACGCACTCACAACTCTCCGCCAGGGGAAGCAGCAAGTGAGCTGTACCCACATCCCACGATTTCTGAACTCCTAGCCGCTTCCCCTAATATCCGGTCTTGATGCCAGGGACGGATTCAAAATAGCTTCTTGCGTCTTGGAGGCATTGGAAGCTGTCTCCAAGACACCCGCCCCTCAGTGACCTGTGAGCCACTCATGGGCTGATAAACTTGTCATCAAGCATTCATGAAAATGACCAAGAAGAGTAGAATCGGAGATCCCAGCCCAATGGTCTTGTCGGCCGTCCCACCGAGCACTGGGCTACTCGTCCCATCGTCTGAGGAGGCTGTGGTGGAAGTCGACGACACGCCGTCGCCGCCCGGGTCGCTGGTGACCCCGGTTTCTCCACCTGAAGCTTCTTGCTAGCCGAAAGGGGGTAAACAGCGATCGGTTCAAGCACCTTAAGGGGAATCCGAGCTTTACTACGCCCCACCTGTCGCGGCCGTAGTTGTCGCGACAACGTCGCTCGCAAAGCAGGATGCTGCAGTCGTTGGCATGGCTGGGGGATTCGTGTCATCGGGATCCACACCCTGAACCCTGTTCTTGAAGATTTCGGCTTGCAGGTCACCCGGAAATATGGCATTTCCGTTCCTGGCGTAGTCGCCGACCGTGTAATCTTTTTCCAGCGAAGTGCCATACCAGCCTGGCTCTGACTCGGACTGGGAATAATCAGACTTGCTCAGGATCAAACTCGACATGCTCTTGACTCTTTCTTGACACATAAGACAAGGGGCGCGCATTTGGCACTGCTTGTCGCCACATATCGCGCATGGCCTGGGCCTCCGTAGTTTCCAGGAGCAACTCCGGTCGCAAGAAGAAGGTCAATGTGCGTTCCCTGTCGAAGCTGTATCCCTCTCGCCTTGGGCGCACAGGACCACAAAAAACTGGAAGAGCCTAGCACCGGAATCTCTCGAGGCTTCGGGCAATGGAGCTGAGGACAAGCTGCACATAGCTGGGCCAGCCTCCAGCCGGGGCATAGCCGGATTCGGCGATGATCCACGCGTTGCCGTCACTGTCTGCTGTAGGCATTGTGAAGCAAGGATTGGGCCACATGGAGAAGCTGTCCGCGGAATCCGTCAGGGGCACCAAGGCGAACAAGCAAGACAGGCCTGAGGAGCGTGCTACTGTATTACACTGCACGCAGTCGGTTGGCTTGACTCGCCTCATATGCGGCATCATAGGTCACATGGCAATGCCTGCTACTCTTTTTAACGGTATGGTGTGGTGCTGTGCCCTGTCATGGCTTTGCAAAGCACGGCCATGAGCGGTATTTCATCATGCTCTTCTAGATTGCTACAATTCGTAGTCTGCTGCGTTGCATTGCTTTGTGTTGCAGGTAGTGCTGGTGTGTCATCATACAGACTCACCACTGACATATCTACTCTTGGCATTACAGCCATTACAGTGTACGGAGCTGCGTTGTCGGTATGCTGCGTGCCTCTGCAGTGTTTCATGGTCGATTGTGCCAGGCTGCGCTGTCTGACTACATTGTCATTGCAATTCACTAAGAACCATAGTCCTTCTTTTTCTTGTTTGACTCCCCGCCCCCCTCCTTCTTGTCGTAACCATATCCCTATCTCTTCTCGCCCAGGCGCTGCCCCTGTCCCGTGCAAACCTGCAAACCTTCCCTCAGGGGCAGGGGAATGGCGGAAATTAACGGAAAACTCTGTCCTGCAGAAAAAGCTACTTGTCGGGACTTCCTGAACGCTGGGGGGTGTTGAAAAGAAACAAAGAGGGGGCGGGAACTGCAGGTGCTGTCGCAAGTTGAGCGGCTTGATTTACACGTGTAGGGGCTCGACAAAGTAAGAAAAAAACAAGCCCCAGTTCAATGATCATGTTGTATAGACCTAAATCTTGACGTCTTGTTTTCTGTCACATTCAACACTAGATCTGCTTGCTCAAACTAAACCCAAACCCGAAACCCCGAAGTCCCCTGCCTCAAACTTGAACCAACCCTGCACCCCTTGCCTGAACCCCAAAAACCCCATGCCCTAACCGAAGCCCCTAAAATCTAAAGCCCAAAGCAGCTGGAGGCTACCAGTATTATCGAGCGGCCGCTATTGGAGTAAGCGCAGCTCTTCGTATGATTCGGGAGCATGCCTTGGTCCTGCGAAGGGTAATGATAGCAATAATTAATAGTAATCCTAGTAATACTAGAAATATTAGTAAGTAATAAAGTTAATAATAGTAATCATAGGAATTGTGGGTGCTGTTTGCTATTTTTGTTGGAGGCTCTCGTCCGTCTAATCGACTAGCTTCAATGGCCTAAGGACTCAGGGCTTCAGGGTCTAATTAGGGCTGCTTTGGGGGATTTTGCTGTTTAGGGTTTCAGAGTTGCAGAGGTGAAGAGCCTACGGGTCTGAGTGTCTTGGGGGGCTTGGGGTTCAAGATTTCGAGCTTCAGCGCAGCCAGAAGTCCGGACCAAACAGCTTGACACTGAGGTTCGAAGAGTAGCTCGGCTTCTCTACTCACTTATATAGGAGCCTTTACAGCTGGAACAGGGCTTTTGGGTATATTGTAGTATAAATATGTTGAAGGGCCCGCTAATTAAGCAATTATACTGCTGGTCAATAAGGGATCGCAGGTTGTCTCTACAGGCTCTGAGCATCCGCAGACAATTTGACATAGTAAATAGGGAAGGAGTGCACAAATCCGAAACAACACGCTCAGCTGTGGTTCTCTCGCTGCGCTTCGGGACCATTGGCTCTACATTGCACGGCTTAGTGTACTGAAAAACCTTGAAGCATTCCTTTCAGAAACTACATCACCATCCAGCGCACACGAAGGAAGGGTTGTAAGGTGCCGTCAGCCCTTCCAAGAAGTCTAGCACATCCCTGGATTTAGCGTCTGGCGTGTGAGAGGCTATGGTTTGTGGATCTGAAGTAGCCAACGTGATACGATCTTTGGACAAGCCTGAGCCACTCTATGTACAGTCCTTCAAGAACTCGCAGTCGTGATTGGACATGCGCCAGTCAAATGCCACACAGCGCTGGGTGCCATTGCGCCAGAACGTAGAGCAGAGTTCGGCACAAAGGTCGAAGCTGGGCTGAAAGCCTAGGTCGGTGGCGGTCACCGGCATGCTGAGGATGGTCCAGCCATTCATCTTGCTTGTGCCGATCTTCGCATGGGGCAGCATGTAGAAGAACTGTGTCCAGTTGAAAGGCGCCGAGCGCCCAAGCAGGGCCGGCTTTGGAGGCAGCACTGCCAGGTTGTTCGAGGTGTCCGTGACATAGAACCTAAGGTGACATAGCACGACCTTCTCGCAAGAAACTCCAAACTTACGAACAGAAGGACGGACAGAGGACTGGGATCGAGATGCATGCAGTATCATGGCGAGAGCTTGTGCTTGTGCTGTTGTGGTTATGGAAGCGGATGTGGATGAAGGTGTGGTTATTGTTGGCGGTGGTGCTGTTGCTGTTGCTGTGGCTCGTTGCTGCGGTTGTTGCTGTTGCTGTGGACGTTGCTGTTGTTGCTGTTGCTGTTGCTGCGGTTGTTGCTGTTGCTTCTGTTGTCGCTGATGTTGTTGCTGCTGTTGCTGTGGTTAATGTGGCGGCTGCTTGTGTTGGACTCGATTACTGTCGTTATCGTCGTGATCGTGGTCAGGACCATTGTCATCCCTGTTACCAGTATGATCAAAATGATGCTGAAGATGCTGATGATGATGGTGATGGTGTTGATAGTCATGGTGATGCCGGTGACGATGATGACCCACCGCGCTGGCCGATGAGAGTTTAGGCTTCTAGAATTCACGGCTGAGGATGCAACCAAATTTGGGACTACGCATTTCCACGTTTCAGTGTTGACAGTTTAGCAGTTGTGGGCAGAGTTGTGGTTTCAAAGTGGCGCCTCGTGATGCCTTCCGGGTTCGGAAGGATAACGTCCATGCCGGTATGTCGAAGCGTCCACTGAAGACGTTCACCCTGATATTCGCCTCGGCGATTTTTTGCAGCGCTACGGTCCCCCACAACTGCTGCTTTTCAAAGTCGGCTTCCTAGGAACTGCAGCCTTTGCAACAGTGCAGTCTGAGCTTCACTTGCGGTTGCCATATCCACTGGAGTGCTCGATCGACTGGTGTCCGTACCTGTGCTGAGGAGTACCCACTGCAATGATGATAACCAGCCACAAAAGCGATCCATCTGCTACCGTGTACGCAATTATAGTGGGTACATGAACAAGCAAGAAGCACTGGGTTCGAGGTTCGAGGTCTAGTTTTCTAGTAGCCCAGCCACAGGCAGGCAATGGGAGCATCATCTTCGGCGACCAAGTCCATTGGCCAGTACTTTGCGTGGACGACTTTGTTCTCACCTGCGGCATCTTAGTCACTAGTGTCGTTGCAGCTTTAATAGCAGCAGCAACTGAAGTATACACCAGCAGCAGCAGGAGTAGCAGGAGTAGCAGGAGGAGGAGTAGTAGTAGTAGCAGCAGCAGTTGCTGTTGTTGATGTTACTGTTGCAATAGCAGTACTGGCGGCAGCAGCAGCAGTAGCGGTGGTGGCAGCAGCAGCAGCAGAAGTAGTAGTAGCAGCAGCAGCAGTAGCATCACAACACGTGGAAGTCCTTGAAAGCTCAGCTTGCGAGGCAGCTGCTGCACACTCTTCGAACCGACTACAAGCCTCAACCAGTGAACAGCCCCGCAGCCTGGATAAAACTTGTTCTCGGGAAGAGGGAGCATCGCCAGGGATTGCTTGGCTGAGTTCCCGTAGTAGTTTGCCACCTTGCAGGATGAAGCTTTATTTTGGCATTCAGATGACAGTTTGGCTGGGACTGTGAACTTCAGATGATATGATTGCACCCACAAAGTGCCAACCCTGAGGCACACCAAAGTGCGGCCAATCGAACCATGCCCACAACACTCGTGCGGTCTCCTTTTCAGTTCGAGTCTGGGCAGCGGACATAGATTTGTTCGTTAAGCGTATCCAGAGCCAAGCCAGCAATGAAGGCGGCACCCTTGTCATTGCGTGGCGGGAACCTCGGAAGTTGGGCAAACCCAGCAAGACGGTCCGGCATGACTTCACTTCTCTCTAGCCCCGCTATGGAACCCTGTTCTGTTGGTACTCACAAGTCAATGTGTGTATATACGTATGCACATACTGGTATAGTTGACGGCTTGTTTGAACTCAACATTTGTACATGTACTGCCTTTATGATTTACGTCTGTGTGCCTATTTTTGTTTATGCAGCTGTGGGTGTTGTGATGCGCTTGTCTATTTAATAGTTACTGATTCTATACACACACGAACCACTACATTAATTAGATTTCTATGCTTTGGCATTACATACTTCAAACCGTACCTGCTGCGAGAGTTCACCCATGCTCCAAGTGGTCAACACACTGCTGGGGCTCGCCCATCTCAGGGCAGCACTCGTAGAAGATGCCAGAATACACCACCTGCCCGGAATAAGACGGGGGCGGGGTCTGAATTATCATGTTTGGACTTTGGGGTGTAACGGAGGCAGATCATCTTTCAGCGCACACAAGAGATTCCCTGCATAATTACTTAAAACGACAACTACATATATGCATGTATGTAATAATGTATGCATGTATGTACGTAGGTCTGTATGTAATTATGCACGTACGTACGCATGTATAGTATAGATATGAATACACATACATGATCACACACACACACGTATACACATGCGCATACGCATACACATCCACATACCCATACCCGTACATGTAAGCATACCCATACGCATATGCATACACACACGCATACACATACGCTTACAAATACACATGCACATACACATACACATACCCATACGCATACACATACACATACATAACTAATTGCATGTGTGTATGTACAGTTATGCATCTGTGTGGTTGTCAAAATTATGGTCGCTTTTTGGGAACCCTGATTGTTAGGTGACGTACTATATTAGGGAGCCAAAAAAGGACCATAATTTGACAACCACCCATATGACTTTGTCTTGAGCCTGCACAGGAATTCTTCGCAAGATAGTGGCCGTCCGTTTACCGTCCAGCTAAAAATGCCGAATTTGGGGTTCAGAAACCTGTAGCGGACTTTCAGCAGGTCGTGTCGAACTTCTGGCGATTATGCTGTGGGCCATAGCCTAGGCCCTAGGAGCCCGCTACGCACTTTTCGCAAGCGCAGCCGACAACAGCATCAAGACAACCGACCCCGCATGACACAGCCACAGGTGGAACCCGAAACTTTCGGAAAGCCTCTAAACTTTAAAGCTACCTGCTGCTGCCCCGAAAGCCTCGTCGTTGCCAGGTCCCTTGGGGCCGGCCGTCCGCGAGAAGCGCGAGATAGACTCCGTCGTCGTGGTGTGTCGGAAGGCATAGTACACCTAGTTGGAGGGTTTTGCGCTTCACGACGCTTCAGGGCTACAGGGCTCTGGGATTACTCAGATGTGGAGTGCAAGGTTTTCAAGGCTTAGAGCTGAAACGGGGTAGGGTTGGGGTTGAGGATACCGTCGAACGTGCACCCCGTCGAACAAACTTGACCCAAGCACATAAGATGATTGCATGCGCAGACCCCACCTGGTCACGTTTCGGGTCGTAGGTCATGGCCTGTCAAAAGCAGGCGAGGGAAATCCGGAACTGGGCTTCGAGGCTCCGGACCTCGCTTCCCGAGCTTGCCTTGAGCACGTTGGCGCCGGTCGCGGAAGCGGTCCCGGTGTCCATGATCCTGGGACTTGGAGCTCCGAACTCCTTCTGCAGTCTCTGGCTTAAGGCTGAGGCTCACGGTTTGGAGCCTTTTTTTTTACCAAGGCTGCCGGCCTGGGGATCTTCCAGCCGAAAGGCCCCAAAGCCCAAGAAGCTTCGGGTTTTCCCGCTCCCGGCCCCACCCCCCTGACCCCGAACCTCTGCAACAGCAAGCCAGAGAGGATAGCTGTAGCTAATATCGGAACACACAGATAGACTCACAAGCAAGAACATGGGTGTGGCCTCATTTAAAAGACTGCGGAAGTGCTGAAAACTAACCCTTAAACTCCTAATCCTCAACCCTTAAACCTAAACCCATAAAACCCCTAGCCGTAAGCACTGAACTGCTTGAACTGCTTAAAACCTTCTCCAAGCCGCCGGTCCCAACATCCTTTCCAACCGGTCCGTCCGTCGGGATCCAGAGTCGGCCAGAGGGCGGCCTAGTGGTTTTCTCGGGTTTTTATGGGTTCAGGGTTTAGCGGGTTTAAAGGATTTAGAGGGTTTAGAGGGCTTTGAGGGCTTTGAGGGTTTAGAGGGTTCAGAGGGTTTAGGGTTTTGAGGGTTTAGAGGGCTTAGGGTTTCTAGGGTTTAGAGGGTTTAGGGTTTACCGGGTTTAGGGTTTAGAGGGTTGAGAGGGTTTGGAGGGTTTAGAGGGTTTAGGGTTTACCGGGTTTAAAGGGTTTAGCGGGTTCAGAGGGTTCAGAGGGTTTAGGGTTTAAAAGGGCTTGGGGCTTAGAGGGTTTTCTTTCAAGCTGCATGACAACAAAACGCTAAGCCCTTTCCAGGAACATGAGGCACACGCAAGCCTCTTTTGACGGGAGTCTCATCGATCAATGCCTTGAGCATGATGTCCAAAAAAGCAGCCGAGCAGAAACTGAAATGCCAGCGCTGCTCAATGCGAGTGCGCGCTTGGCTTGAGTTCCTCAAGCCTCTCCCACTGTCACCAGGGTGGGTGGGGTGCGCAGCACTAGGGAGCAATGAATGACAGAGTCAGGTAACGTGTTGTCACATGAAAGAAACTACAAGTTGAAACACAGCTCATTCTTTCAAGCTGCATGACAACAAAACGCTAAGCCCTTTCCAGGAACATGAGGCACACGCAAGCCTCTTTTGACGGGAGTCTCATCGATCAATGCCTTGAGCATGATGTCCAAAAAAGCAGCCGAGCAGAAACTGAAATGCCAGCGCTGCTCAATGCGAGTGCGCGCTTGGCTTGAGTTCCTCAAGCCTCTACCAACTCTCCACTCCACTGATAAGTCAAGTCACCGCAAATTAAACACATGCTGCTCAAAGAGGTCAAACCTCACCTGATCCAAGCGAGAAATTCGCGGCATCGCATCAGAATGAAGATAAAGGGCATCACGGACTTCCCAAGCCTGTTGGCCCAAGGAACTCCAGCGTTGCAAACGCGTCTGCTGCCGCAAATCAAGAGCATTTCGAGCCCGTAGAACGGCCACCTCTCCTCTGCGAATGTATTCACGTGCTGAGCGCTCTCTGAGCCAACGCCCAAACAGTAATATATCGGCGAGGGGGATGCCCTGCCGAGCCAGCTCGGAGGCTCCAGAGCGTCTGAAGCTGTGAGTTGTGAGAAGCATGTCCGGACCACCCAATAGACCGGATAGCTTTTTCACCCACCGAAGAACAGAGGCGTAACTCACAGTAAAGAGCGGCTGACTGGAGTCACGAGCGGGAAAGCGGCGGAGATGCTGGTGTATCCATGCACTTCGCCCCTTACCCGCCTCATAACCATCCAAAACCCACTCAGCAAGAAAAGAATCTTGCTCTTCCTCAGCCATACTGCACCATTGCAGTCCAGCCGCTCTTAGATCATGGCTGAGATGTTCAAGGGCTTGCAGGTATTTTTCGCGAGTGGAGGGCTTCAAGGTTTTCAGCAAGAAACGTTGGACACGGTTGAGGCCATTCCCACTGAACATGGTGTAACCCGACCCACGGATCGCGGGCACTGATGTTGCTGTCAGCCGTGAGAGGCTTGAATGGCCGCCAGTAGCCCTTTTGCCGCACTGCCGCAACCCGTTCCACAAAGTTCGTAGCCAGCACTTCAGAAAAATCTGCAGGATACTTAGCTGAAGCAGCTGCACGAGAACAACCTCCAGTAGCCTGCTGAATTAAAGCTTCGTGCTTACGGCTGTGGTTGCACTTCAGATGAATAGTTGCACATTGTTTGGGGAGCAAAAGCCCAATTGGTTTCTTTTTGCTTGCTCCGTATCTGCACAGGTGCACCTCGTGGTATTTCATGCCAAACACCCTGCAGAAATGTGTAACCTCCTCTGAGCAAAAGATGAACGCACGAGTACGGCCTGGGTCTGCCTGATGTGCCAGTCCACTCCAACCTCCCTGATAAGCGATTTCGCCCAGAAGGCCTAAGCAAAGTAGGAAAAGAACCGATCTGACACATACTGCATGCCGCTCTCTACCTGCCCAACAAGCCGATGGTTCCCAGAAGTCATCTCGGGACTCCAACGGTATTGCACCACAAATAGGTTGCGAAAGCCTACGCTGACAAGGCGGTGAAGCGAAACCACCAATGACTTTTCCGCTTTGAATGAGGCCGAGAAGAAAAAGGCCAAGCTGTGCTTCCAGCAAATCACCATACACGGTCTTTTGACCCCAGATCACCTCCTGGTTAAGCACCGCCCGCAGATCAATACGTATGGCGATTATGTTGATCTCATGGAGAGCCCCCAGTCTTTCAACACATTCACAAAGGTCACCTTGACTCCTAGGCCCAGAACATAAGTGCAGGAAGAAACAAGCATCACGCGGCCAGAAGTTGACCTGTGAGACATCCACCTCACTCAGGGCCGTGGGATCCGGCGAGAGCCACACCTGGCCACTGGCGGTGTGAGTTGCTGGCTCCCACCGTCGCGATGGCTCATCTGCTGGGTTCTCTTTGGAAGGCATCCAAGGATAGAATACATCGTGACCCCCAGCGACATTTATGGCACACATTCTGCGACACCGGCTGTTCAGCTGAAACGAACTGGAACGACCCTTGCTAAGACAACCTGCGCAAGCCGCCGAATCCAAAGGATGCACAAAGCGGCATCCCTCATCGACCGGCCTGCGGAGACGGTCCTCGGCCGCCCAGGTTGCCGCGTCGGCCTCACCCAATGTGATGTGGGTCGGACTCCAAGGGGCACCAGCTGTGTGCCACTTGATACGCTCAATAGGTATGCGGACTCTTCTGAGCGGACACTTGTGCTCTGTTGTCAGACCAATGCTCCACGGCAATTTGAGGTTGGTGTATACCTGCTTGTGGTCACTGTATCTAGCCAGCAACTGTACCACATGCTTCGGTGCTATACCCCACGCCCGTCCAAGCCCTGTCATAGAGGAATCCGTGCATTCGATTCTCGTACTCCACGGAGCTGAAAGGTTAAAACTGCAGAAAGGTAGCAGAAGGCATGACATAGCTAACTCGACCCAGACCGTATCAGGTATTGTGACCAGGTCTCGCCTTCGTCCCCTCACAGATGCCAACCAGCCATACGCGTACTGCAAGACGGACCTGAGGCATGGACGAGCCGAATGAACAAACCCGTGCTTGCCTACCAGTCGGTCAACCACTCCAACAGGGACTTTACGAGCACGAAGTACATGTACCGTGGCTTGGAAAAGATGTCTGCGCTTCTCCAAGCTGACTCCCACCCAATGCCCATGTGGCTCAACGTAGTAGCCCTGAACTTCTTCGCCCAGGGCTGAATCCACCGACTTCTTAGCATTGGGTTCCACGCCATGCTGCACCCAAGAGGACTCCGTGGAATCCATCCACGCAGCCCCGACGCCTGCGTCCAGCTGTGTTGCTGCGTGCTCAATGGCCCAAACATCATCCACAATCGACCCCCACAAAGGCAAACACTCCGGAACAACCATATCAGGGTGCAGTCTATGCTCGGAGGGAAGCCCAGCTCTCTGAGTAACTGTGTCCGTCAACCCTTGCGCCCAACCGGCTGATGGCCCAAAACCCATGGGAGCTGAACATGAAGCTGGAAAACGCTGATGTTCAGGGCCTGCGCCACGTCCAATCTGTATAGGAGGCCCGCACAACCATCGTTGCCAGCGCCTGCCAATTTTTAGGCGGTGGAAGTAGTGGCGGGCATCCCGCTTTGATACCACTACCACTCCACCCTCGGGCACGGTCAATGAGCGCATCTTCGGGATAAATGCAAACTGGGGCCGGGGTAGTTTGTCGGGATCCAGAAGCTGATTGACACTGGGATCTGTGATAACTCTGTCTTCATGCTCGTCTTTCTTCACAGCGAAAGCTCCTGCCAAACACAACGCCCCTCGGTGCCTGGCCACTTGGCCACGCCTCTTGAGACAGTGCAGGCCTGCTCTCACATTGCGTTGCACAAGCTCGGGGTATGAACGTGCCAGCCAAGTATACCCTCTCTTCACGTGGCGTGGCCTCCGCCTGGATAGCAGCAGCAGGGCATTCGGACGAACAACCTGCTCCGCCATCTCTGGGAAAGTGCTCTGCAGATGCTGCTCAAGAGGGACATCAGCAGCTTTACTCGGAACACCCCCTTTCACACCCAAAGCCAACACCACCCCGCTACCAGAGTAATGTTCAGACTGCTTCAAAAAACTGTCAAGCCCTTCACTCGACAGTAGAGGCTCGTCGGTCACCACCATTGCCTCCAAGGCACATACTATCCGAGCATGTACCCGCCGATGGGCAGCAGATAGCAGCGGTTGTCCACCACCACCGTCTTGCCCCCGATGCAAATCATTAAGAACCGCGATGACGAGATTGGCCCCTTGAACAAGACCTGTACAAGCTTCTGGAGAATGTGCCATACAATCGGTCACCACTGAGCCACCCCGGCTAAAGGGAGGCAGAGGAAAAACATGCCCAGGAGAGTGCCTCACGCTCTTCCCCCGATCTCGCTTGAATTCATGAAGAACTTGCTGCAGCCGACGCACATGAGCACCCAAGGAGCATGACCTGCATCCCCAGCCCAAAGCCTTCGCCAAACCGGCAACGGCCTCAGAATAGAAAGCGCCAAAACCCCCACGAGTGCCCACATCCCTGCCGCAGGACGGGCCCGCCGAAGTAACCTGCTCAGGCATTGGTCAGGGCCAGCATGGCACTGCTGGCCAAGCTTTTCTGAGTGTTCACCAGCTCGATGGCCTCCGCTTTCTCCCAGCTGCCGCCTTTCATCTTCGCAGCCTGGATAGCCAGGATCCTTTGAGATAAGATGTCCATAGCCCGCTCGATCTCCCGGCGATTGACTGAGTCCAGGATCTCCGCCAGCGTGAGCACCTCCTTCAAATCCCGGATCTCCGAAAGTCCTGTGAACTGGTGTGCCCAGGCCGCCACCGAAACATCCCTCAGCTGACTCGACCTGCTCATTGTGCCCTTTGACAACCTGGCGTAAACCCCTGCTAGGAAGTGAGCCGTCAATGCACCCGGATGCTTCGAGGCGAAAGCCACCAGATCGCCTTTCTTCTTCCACCGTAGCCCGTCGACGTGAGACAGGTCCTCGTAGCTGACGCGCTTGCTTCTGGACTTGTCTTTCCACCTCAAAGGCTTCCCGCTGGAACTGCTGTTGCTGGTTGAGCTGCTCGAGCTGCGACTTCGCGATCGGCTGGTTGAAGAACTGCTGCTCGACCCATGTCGCTTCTTCTTCTTTTTGCCCTTCTTGTGGCTCTTTTTCTTCTTTTTGCCTTTCTTGGATTTCTTGGCATCCTTTTTCTCTTTCCTCGAATCTGCCAATGACAGGGCCTGCAATTGCTTCACCGCCGCCTCCAAACTGCGCAGATCCACCTGGCCGGTGCCATCTCCACCACTGGCGCCGGGCCCATGTAGACCCAGCCCGGCAACCCCGGCCGCGCCACCTGCCGCCGCCACGCCTGGCGCCCCGACCTGAGCTGGGGCCACCGGCATCGCAACCGGAAGCGTTACCGGCTCCAGCCGACCAGCTGTACCTGCAGCGTTCACCGGATAGCTCCCTGCACCCGCTTGCTGCAGCTGTTGCAAGATGACCGTGCCGTCCCTTATGACTTGCTGCGACTCTGCCGCAGTGGGAAACCACTTCGCCCCTGCACCTGGAGGAGTGCACACCCAGTTCACTGAGTCCGCCCCGACTCCATGAGGGGGGCGACGACTCCCATTCCCGACCATGACAGATGCACTCATGTGACCCGCAACGGGTACAACCACGACCCAAATCCATTCTCCTCCGTCCTCCGAAGTACTGCGAGCCAGAATTTCTCCTGGGCCCGGCCCATGCCCCACCACGAACACCTCGTCGTGATGAGGAGGCCTCTCCACCACCGCAAAGGTACCCACCGGGTAATGGCCTGCTCCTGCCGCTGCCATCCTGTCGCAGGTTAAGGAGAACTGATCTGACCGACTGAATTGCAGCCACCACGCGAGGAACAGTTTCAAAAACCAAGTGCCTATCCAATTCCAGATATGCACCAATACAGTGCCCCAACTAAGCACCAGGTACAAACCCTCCAGAAACAGATAGCCGACCAGGCGTAGACAGAGCACTATCAAAGGGATCCACTCCAACAGCAATAGTACTCCTCCCACGAGGAAAACCTTTTGCACGCCTTCCCACAAGGCGTCAGAGGCCCCCTCCGAAGCTAGGACCTGATGGCCGACAAAGCTGACCACCTCTCTCGCAACTCCTTGGGCCAGCCAAACACGCCAGTTATGATGTACAGCAAGTCCCGTCAATCCGGACACAGCAGCTGCACTCACCACGCGCAAGGACATCAACCTATTTGACCTCGCCTGAGCAGCTTGAGCCAGCAATGAATGACAGAGTCAGGTAACGTGTTGTCACATGAAAGAAACTACAAGTTGAAACACAGCTCATAGGCTTTAGAGGGCTTAGGGTTTAGGGTAGGCGTCTTGAGGGTTTGAAGTTTAGGCTTTAGGGCTCTGGTTAGGATTGCACACGGGCTGAATTTGGGGAAGGGATCTCCACAGTGATCCCGCGTGCTGCACTGGCTATAGTCATCATAATCACCGTACTTCCGACTACAACACAGATCCATAATGCAAGAAACGATGGAAAATTGAAGCACATGGTCATGTGATCTTCAAAAGCTGAGAGTGTGACTTGCGCTTTGCAGGCAGCCACGTGCGTGTCATTCGCGAAGTTCTTGGATGGCAGATGCAGGCTAAAAAATAGGCGTTCCGGGCTGCCCTGGCCTCACACGGAAGCTGAGGATGGGACCAAGGCCTTAATGGCATTCACCTCATGGCTCAGGAGTGTGCCGTCGCAGGCGACCACCAAGGAGGACCTCAGCCAGGATTGGGTAGGGCTGAAGTCGAGTTTGATGACGCCTTGGAACACCTGTCCGGCCATTCAACGGAAGAAAATGAACTCCCGCTCTGCATCACGAGTGGCCAAGAACCGTATGCATAGTGGCCCGCAACTTCGCCGACGTCGCAGGGTTCAAACACTCCCTGGCTGGGTGTCCAGCCCTGGACGTCCAGGTACAACCTCGCTGTCTCACTGCCCTACTTTGTCCGAGGCACATGCGGTTTCTCTGCTCACACAGTTGCAGCAAGAACTAGTGACGGGGCGAGATGCAGGGACACGTAGCCCGTGCTGGGCTGTGGGGAGAACCAGTAGACGATCTCCGCCTCTGGGTCGATGGCGAGCTTGACTTGGTTGGGCACCGTGTCATCGTTTCCAGGGAAGAGCTGTGTGCTTTGATGGTAGAGGACCTCCACCGCCGCTTCGATAACGGCCTGCACTGGTCGTCGGCCCAAAGATGCAACACAAAGACACCAAAGACACCCTAACACCGAAACTCTGGGTTTCTCAGCCAGGGACGTAGCGGTCGTCCAAGACTTGTGTGGAGCCAGAGTGGGGGCAGCTGCTCACCTTGCAGTCCTCGGCCGAAAGACAAGGACTCACGCCTCTGGGTTTAGGATGGTTTGAGTAGCAGTAGTAGCAGTAGCAGTAGCAGTAGTAGCAGCAGTAGCAGTAGCAGTAGCAGTAGCAGTACCAGTACCAGTGCAGTAGCAGTAGCAGTACCAGTAGCAGTACCAGTAGCAGTACCAGTACCAGTACCAGTAGCAGTAGCAGTAGTAGTAGTAGTAGTAGTAGTAGTAGTAGTAGTAGTAGTAGTAGTAGTAGTAGTAGTAGTAGTAGTAGTGCTACTACGACGACGACTGCTACTGCTACCGCTACTGCTACTGCTACTGCTACTACTGCTACTGCTGCTGCTGCTGCTACTGCTACTGCTACTACCACTACTCCTATTGACAGTCATGACAAGGCGACTGAACAAGATGCGACAACACGAAACACTGGCCATGCAACTGGTGCTCACAGCAGTGCATACCATGGCAGCAACGCCAACAGTTTCGCTAGTAATACTAACAAACACACCCAGGAGAACTCAAAATGGCAAAAATCATCACGCGCAGCAAAGCCCAAGTGCCTGGTTGAGAAAGCCCAGAAACCGCCTCCCTGCACAAACGAAACATCTTCCCGAAACACGGGTGAAGCATTCAACCCAGCAGCCACGGGGTCTGGCATTTTTGCCGCAGTCTCCAGGACGGAGATGGGCACCTCGAGGGCAAAAACCGCGAGGTTTGGAGACAGCTTCCGGTAGTTTCTCAGCCAAAGGTCAGTTCTACACCAGGGTAAAGCGGCAAATCCTTCACCATACATGTTGATTGAGGCCACAACAAAGCGCCGCTCTTGGACAACCCACTCTAGACTCTCGTATCAGCGTGTGCTGCGACCATTGAAGCAAACTCCTTCAAGGATCCCCAACCACTCTCTTCAGCCGCATTCTCGCAGCTCTTCTGACAATGCGGCCTGGACATTGAACCCCTCAACTCTACACAGTGCACTTCGAACCAAAGCAAAACAGACTTCCTCACAGGCGCTCTCTTCAGAGCATGCTCTGAGCAGACCCCCGGCAAGGCGGAACGTTCGCAGGACATCCAGTAGACGTAGCCTGAACAAAGCGGAGTTAGGTTCAGGACTTCGGGCTCTTGGCTTAGGGTATGGGGTTTCAGGTGGGTTTACAAAGAAAAACAGAATGCTGACAAGGGGCCATGGATGAGATCGACTGCTGGCCCTTTGACTGCGACACCATAGCCCCATGGACTCTTTATCCCCGGGATGACTCCATCGTTGCCACCCCCTGTTGCGAGTTCTTGGTAGTGATCATAGGCCCGCCGCTGACCTTTGGGAGCGATCGCGTTGCGAGAGAGGGCATTGCTTTCGTTGAAAGGAGGGGCTCAGGATCTACAAACCTTTCTGTGAAACCCAAATCTCGCACAGACCAGGCAGTAAGCGCTTCAGCATGAGACTCAGAGAAAAAAACACAGTCCCCAGACGGGCAAGCTCCTGGCCTATGTAGTCATAGCCCCACCCGCCATCTGCAGATCGTGCGAGGCCCTCCATCGAGATGTAGTCTCGCAGCAAGTAGCTTGGTGCCTTGTCACCAGCATCGATGCTGAAGATGATGTGCCTGGTGCTCCGCAAC